GAGACAGCATCAGGCCCTGGCAATGAGGAAGACCCGAGAACCTGCAGCCCCGAGCATTTGAGCGGCTGAGCGTCCACCAAGACACGAGAGCCCATTGCGAGAGCCGAGATCAGCCACCAATTCGAACCCCCTTGCAAATCCGAGCCTAGTTCAATTTTTTCCCTTATAATTTACAGAGAGGTAAGCAGTTGAGGCCCCAATTTTTCTTGCTAATCATGCTGAATGATCAAGATTAAGATCAATTAATGAGAATCAAAAGTTTAACGTTTCAAGAATATAAAGAAAATTCAAGAAAAGATCCAAAGTTTAGCATGCCTTGTGGTTTTGTGCCGACATGCTTCCACATGTTCAGTGCCGACAACATGCTCGATCAAATGCTTCTGCGAAATTGATGAACTTACAAGTATCCAAAGTTAGTAAGTGGAGATTACGTTAAAAAAAAAAAAGTTTATTAATTGGTGTTTGAGTTGATTTCTTATCGAGGAGCCGGAATGAAGCTGAGAGTGGCATGTCGGAAAATCTACGATTATGTTCGCTATGATCTGAAGGAGATTGCATTCCCTTCTTCTTTGCCTGATCCTCCACACATCAAAAAGCTTCCGGAGCTTACATGGAAAGAACAGTTCCTTGTAAGTTCTCTTTTGTTGGGGTTGGTGTTGAATCATATTCTAGAACAAATTCCTAATATGCGGTGATAATAGACATGGTTTCGTTGATTTGCTTTGGAATGATGTATTAACGCACATTTCATGAAAATGTTGTAGTGTAGGTGATTTGAATTTCATACTAGAAAGTGTCTCCTTGTGTAAATTTATGTTTCTTTTTTTTTCTATCATTGAGAAAAAATACATACATGCATATTTACCCACTCTTGGTTGCCTAGAATAATAAAATGTCGACGTATTTAGATGCTACTATATGATCCGAAATTTGTTAATAGGCGTTGAAGGAAGCATCTAGACTCTATGCTGCTAGCTGGGTGAGGGATATTGGTCCAGAGCTTAGACCGGAGGATTACAAGAGTAAAGCAGAGAGTGAAGATAAACCTAATGGGGAAAAAGGGGTGCCGGCAGAGAGGGAGCCATCCACACTCGAGGATCTTGGTAAGGAACTTTGCGCGTTGTCTTGAATTCTCCTTACATATTTTTAGCAAGATGTTTGTCATACCATGTCCTGGATATACATGTATATTTCTTTACGTTATCTGTTTTGAATACGATTAACTTATGAGTTCAGTTTTATATCTTGATTCTTTTGATTAGATATTGACTTGAGGCGGCGAAGAGAAATATTTTTTAAGTATCATGTCCCTTTTCTTTTTCTGTCGTCAATCAATTTTCGGCAGCGTCACGATTTTTGTGTGCTGTAGAACAAGTGTGTAGCTGATTGATTGGGCTGTATTGTTTTATTCCTGTCATCAAACTCGGTAGGCAATAATGTAAAATAAAATCTAAATTATAAAAAAGTAGAAGTTTTGCTTTTTCCGCATGATGGATTGTTGTGATTCTTAATGTGATTCTTTCAATGTATTGTAAAGCTGTGGCTGCCAAGGGAGGTATGGAGACGCTAAGGCCCGCTCTGCAGCGGGTTTACATGACCAGAGCCTCTGCTTATAGAGACGCTCTCAGGAGTTTCATAGAAGGTTATCAAGAAGGCATACAAAAGGTAATGGAGAAGAAAGAAGATTCCAAAACTCAGCAAGGACCGAACGATCCTAAAAAGTAAAACTTTTATTTTTCCAAAGAAAGCAATATGGTGAGTCCTTTCACCTCATCTTTGTTTTTGTAGAAATGATCGGATCTAACTACTGAAATACTTTGATTTTGAAGGACCTATATCTATTTACCTTTCATAATTATGACTTATGAGCGTAGCTGGATCCCACACACTTTCTTTTGTTTTCATGCTCGTACGGGCACGCAGACACCGATACATGTTTGTTCTTGAGTATTCATATTTTTCTCACAACTCGGGGCCTTGGGTCCTTTTATCTTGTCCCATCAAATTAGTCTATTTCCAGCTTCTGATTTAATCCTTTCAATGAGCATACATGTTCACTATCAAGAACAAAATCTACTGTGTATTTTCCAACTTGAGATGGTCCCTTTGATTGGCGTCTCCGTTATGTTGGCTCACACTGTGCCTAATTAGTACTCTGACATGGTGAGTGGGGTTCTGAATACTAATTTCTCGTTGGCCAACTATACAACCATAATATGGAAACGTGTCCCGGTCTTTCCATTTTTAAACTTTCGATGTTGCCTAATTCTAGTGTTTTTAAGGCACAGTTGAAAATACTAGTTCAGGAAAATCACATGGAAGCACTTGCATAGCTCTTCAATGGTGTGAGGTTTAATGCACCAAAGCTAGTGAACTCGCAAAATGTGTGTGGTTTTCGGGGGGGCCTCCACTTGGAAAGCACCAAACATCAGTATACAAAAACATGTCATTCTGACTTACTATTCATCAGGCACTGCTTTTTTATCCTTAGTATTTATGGTTTTTTTTTCCTTTTTTTTTCCCTCCATTGTCAGATATGAATTATTCAACTTGTAACTATACCTAATCAACTCTTAGTTGCAAAACATGGTCCTGTGGCTTGTGATTTTGGGGAGAGTAGCTATCTATCTGGTCCCTTGGCTTTTACACACTTGTCGTTTGGTCCCAATAGTTTGAATTCTATGCAATGCTGATCCATACATATGCTTTCAACATCTTACTTTTCCAAAAATGCCCTTATGCATGAAAATGCTCGAAACAATTCGTGTCGAAGTTGAAAGATTGAACCTGATGTTTCGAAAAAAGGGCAAAACATCAGGACTGTTGAATGACTGGAAATGCCAGCATCCAAAAGCTGCTACGAGACTAGAATTGCGATTCAGCTTATAGAAGTAACCTTGAACCGTGCGAGTTTTTTACAGATTATTTTTCGATAAATATAGCTAGCATTTAGCTTTCATTCAGATTTTTTTTTTTCTTAATAAATTAGAACTATTATTAAACAATTGAAAAAAATAAAAATAAAAACTCTCGAAAGCTGAAACATAACAGTATAAAATAATTTATTTTATTTTATTTTTTATTTTTGTTAATTTTCTCAAAACCGTTGAAGTTTTGCAAAATCATTAAATTTAGTTAGAACAAACGAAGTAGATTAGATTAGATTAGATATAATGTCATAATTTTTTTATTTTTTTTTTCCAATTAATGAATTATATTTCTTCTGAACATATATACAGTTTTCAGGCTTTTATTCCCCTTGCTTGCTGGTTTATCCTATTAATCGTCCACCTGCTTTTCACCTGCTTCATATTTATTAACGTTGAAAGCCATTTCCACCCAATTTTCATATCCTTTTCATAATTATTAGTAAAAATCGTCGGACCACAATTTTAATTAACTTATCAGAACATTTTTTTTTTTTTGGGTGAATTGCTAAATAAACCTTAACCTTTTTGCGTTTGGCAATTTTATCCCAATGTTTGGGTAATTGCAATATAATCTCGACCTCAATTTACTTGTTGCAAATTTTGGTGCAGAGTGATTGATTTTAGGAATTTGTGGATCGATTTTGTGTCCAAGTCGTCCATGAACACGGGTTTTTATGCCATTCACGTAACAAGTTGACAATTTCCACGTATTTAATGTATATCCACGCGCACAAAGCCAAAAATTCCACGTCAATGTAAGCTACCTGTGATGAGTCTCCTCCTAGATCTGGAGTGAACTGGTAAATATGAGCTCTGATCTATTCGAACTGCCTTCAAATCGACCAGTTTTTTTAAGGTCCAACCGGTTTTAGGTTTAACTTGCAATAAGTAAATTGAGGTCGAGATTATATTGCAATTACCTAAAGATTGGGATATAATTGCCAAACGCGAAAAGGTTAAAGTTTATTTAACAATTAACCTTTTTTTTTTCTCGTTGTGCTGTGAAGGAATTTTGCAACTATTAAAAGTAAACAAATTCGGTAACTCATTGACAAAAAGAACTAAAAATTAACATAACAAAAACATTTTTACTTCTATCATGTGTTGGTAAATTCGAGCCTTACCGGTGAGAATACTGATCTTTTACCTGTTGGATTACACATATTCACATGAATGTTGTAAGAATCGGGGGTAGAGCGAGTGTGCACCATGACAGGGAAAGTCAAATGAATGAAACTCAAGTGAGTTTTTTTTATCCTAAAACCAATTAATGAAAAGAGAAGTAGGTCACTAGGATTATAAGTTGAGTATATTTTTCATGCATGTGCTATTATATTTTAATACGCTCCCTCACTTGTGAGTCCTTCATACGAACTCCAAGTCCGACTGGGCTGGGTGACGAGTACGTCATTGCACGGTTCCAAGTAGGCCCAAATCCATCATAGGCTGGGTGAACCGACTCTGATACTATGTAAAAATCAGGGGTAGAACAAGTATGGTCTCACGCAGATAAAATACACCATGACAGAGAAAACAACCCAGATGAAGCCCAAGTGAGGTTTCAGTAAATTTATGTTAGATCTACTTTTCCTGTATAAACAATGTAAAAAAACTCACAAGTAATATTATATTCAAATAAACGTGAATCGGTTTAACGATGAAAAATCCCGATTAAACGAATTTTCCCACCCCAACCCCAAGGTGTTAAAAAGAGGAGGGAAATGACAATTTGTCCCATCAAAGGAAAGAGTAAAATGGAAGTCTCTATCTACCCATTAGATTCCCAATGTAATTTGCAATCAATCAATTAATGGTGGTGGTGATGAAGAAGATGATGATGAGAGGCCATCTCAAAAACAAAACAAAAACAAAAAAGAAAACTTTTATAAAGAAGGCAAGGCAGAGAGAATCACTACAGTAATAACAAAAATTGTAACATAGGTTTTTGTACAATGTTAGGCAGATTCTTTGATCCTCCAAACCTAGACTACACACAACAATGCATATATATGGGACCCTCTCTCTCTCTCTACAAATTGTGGGACCCACCCAAAACCTGCAGTCTCTTTCCATCTTAATTATAAGTTTATAACTTTCCCAAATGGGTTCTTCACTTGAAGTTGAGTCCCCCCCCTTGGAGGGGCTGCTATCTGCTGCTCTGGTGCATGCTCCAACTCTCTCTCTCTCTCTCCCTCTCTCTCTAGAGAGATAGAATTTGTCCAGAAAATATGGGATGGCTGACTAATATATATATTTTTTTTCTTTTGATTTTGTTAATAAGCAAAAAATAAACATTTTTTTTCTTTTCCTTTTTATTTTTCATTTTTCATTTTTTTTTTTTTTTTATAGCCCAAGAAGGTCAAATTTCACATGGTCACATCTTGAAGATCTTATCCTTGCCGATATACATCTGCTCCTCCTGATGAGAAACTGATATCCTGCATTTTTCGACCATACAGAACAAATAAATAAATAAATAATAATAAATAAATAAATAAATAAATTAATAAATAGTAGTTTAGTCAATTATTTTAGAACACAAATATAACAGGTGACATGATAGTGTTTTTGATAAGCATGCAGGAAAAAAATAAAATACAAATAAAAATTAAAATTAAAAAAAAAATGGCCATCCCCCCATATGTAAGCAGCAGGTGGACCATATAACTTTATCTTTCTATTTAATTGATGCATGGTTCAAAATAAAATAATAATAAAAAAAATTAGCCAAATAAGATTTTGTGGATTTTTAGCATATATAATTACAAGCGTACTTGATAAGGACCATATATATGGAAATACTACAATCCCGTTACAGAACTATTCTGTTGAGTTTATATCCGTTAGATCAACTGTCGGAAGCATCTCCCAATATATATATCAGGTGCTAATACATATTTTTCTTAGCATTATGTTCATAATTAAAATAGCTGTTCTATTAGTCAAAACATAATGGTTGACATTCTGTATAATAAAAATGTATAATAATTAATAAACTTAAAGAACACGATTGTCCAACATGAACGCAATAAATTGTGAATAGTAAGCCCTACATTGAGGCAATGACTAGGATGACAATTAAACAGTTAATAATGAAATGATTTTTAAATTAAATTAAAAAAAATATTGAAATATTTGTAATCCACAGCCAAAACTTAAATTCATCAAAGATTGATTTGATGTTGCCTTTAAGGGTACCCCCAAATAAGTCAGCTCCTAACTCATAAATATAATCAAATTATTAAAATTTACAAAAAAGCAATGAATTGGCCTTTTTTCTTCTTTCTTTGAACTTGTTAAAATAATAATAGGTACGACCACCTACCACAAACCAACTCTGAAAAAAAGTTCTCATGATTTTTAGTCAAATTAATTATAGAAAGATGTTACGGTCCCGTTACAGAATCATTTTATCGAATTTGTAACTGTTAGATTATCATGTAACCGTCAGATATAATTGATCTAATAGTTACGAAATTCGACGGAATAGTTCCGTAACGAGACTTTAGCATTTCCCTTAATTATAATTAATAGCCTTTTTTTATTATATTATATAATCCAAAAAATATCTTGTGTGTGAATTTTCAAAGGCTGGGCCTAATTTTTCCACCATTTGCCAGCGTGGACCACAGACCAAGCAGTGAAGACAATTCTACATAACACGCATATGATAAAATAACACTTATAAATGCTTTCCCATACAGTTTCCCGCTTTCACACGGTTCCTCCACATATATATCTTGCAGATTTATGGCAAAATTACAATTTTAGTCTTGATGGTTTGATCGATTTTAGTCCTAAAAATTGAACATTTTTGCTATTTGATCATATAATTCTCAAATTCAATGCAGCTCCACTCATTTGGGACTGTAAATGCAATAAAATTTAAAATTGCAAGATTTAAATTGCTAATAAAATTGCAGGACTTAAATTGCAGCAAAATACTAAATTACACGATCAAAAGAAAAAAGTTGAAATTTTAGAACTAAAAATACTACAGTGTCAAACCAGCAGGACTAAAAATACAATTTTGCCGAAATTTATTTACAAGCGAGTTGATCTATCATTTTTTTTTTTAAGAAAATATTATAAAAATATATGTTCAATTTATATATATACAATGCATTTTTTTTCATTTTTTTATTTATATTATTATTTGTTATATACAATGGGAAAAACCAAGAAAATTGCAATTACCAAAAAAGCAACAAACAATATCTATAATGACTTGACTGGTGATGTTTATATTAGCTTTTTTTTTTCCCATTAATGACTATTACTTGTTCAACTTAACTAAATCCAATTGAAAATTTTTCAATCTAATCTAATCTAACACTTTATCTGCTTCATTTGGGGAAACAGCAAAAATCACACAACTTAATGCAAAATTGAAGCACAGAAAAATTAAGAAAAGATGTGATGGTGTTTAATAATTACCATGTGATTAGAGTAGTAATATTGAGGATGGTGATATGGGCTGTGGTGGTGGTGCTGGTGCTGTTGGGCTTGGCCCAAGCTAGACATGGGCGAGCCCACTGGGGTTGATGGGTCCGAGTCCTCGGCCTGCTGCTGGCACTCCAGATTCACTCCGAACAACCTCAGCATCTTGGAGTTCCCTGTACTTGATGAACTTGTTTGGGCCGTTTGTTGTACAACTGTTCCTGTAATAATCAACACGTTTTTAATTTAATTTTGCACGAGGATTTATATTCATTGTTCTCGATTTGGATCAGCCATAAATGCACCCACCTACGTGTCACACGTATATGGATTAACACATTATTTTTATACTACATATATATTGATGTACAGTAATAAATATAACTTTGGCGGTGGGTCTTAAATAATAAATACTTAAAATTGAAGCTTTTTAAGACATTGCATTCGAGCGCATTACGGAACCATTCTATCGTGGTTTGTAATCGTTAAATCAACTATGCCCGAAAGGTGATCTAACATTTACAAATCCGACGAGACGAAATGATTATGTAACATTTCCCCAAAATTCAAAAGGAAAAAATGTGATAAAATGTTCTCTAGCTTTGTAAGGGGGAATGAGGTCCACGCGCGCATTATGCGCGTGTGTACAGAACACAAGATATTCACGCAAATTTCACAGCAGACGAGACAGAAATGTATGACTGAAACTGCAGACAGCAGTGAAATCGATCGGGCAAACAATTCTTTTTAGTATTAAACAAATTGATGAACAGTAATGGAAAATACTGTCACCTGCGTAATTGGAATCGGGCTGGTACGCAACCGACGCCGGCCCGACCTGAACGTATTGGCCCGGGGAANCGTACTGACCCGGGTAAACGACCCGGTTCCACCCGGAGGAAGGCTGGTGCGCGGCGGCCCCGCCGTCGGCGGAGGTCCTCCTCCTCCATCCGATGAAGAGGCGTCCGGCGTCGATGCGGTGGCGGGCAAAGACGACGACGTCGCCGGCGTCGAGGCGCTTCTCCTTGACGAATCGGCTCCAGCCCTTGGTGAGCACGTAGCTCTGGCTGCTGTTCCAGTACGAGTACCTGAACCGCCACGACTTGCCGGCCTCGTCCTCGAACCCCAGCAACAGCCCGTTCTCGCCGGACTCTCCGCCGCCGCCACCGAGGGGGAAGTGCTTCTCGGCGTGCTGCTTGGGGATCACGAGCCGGTTCAGCTTCCCGACGTCGCTGGGCGTGAGGGGCTTCTCGAAGAGACGCTCCTTGGGGATCTCCTCCGCCGCAGAGCCGCCGTCGTCGTCGTCGTTGTTGAGGTCGAGGCCGCGGCCGGCGGCGGCGGAGGAGTAGTAGAGGTGGTTGTGGTCGGGGTGGGTCCACCACTGGGGGTGGGAGAGGTCCGTGGACGAGTAGTGATTTATCGAGGAGGACGACATTTTTTCTTTATTTTTTTCTCCTCAAAATGGAAAATTGAATTGAATTTGTTCTGTAAGTATAGAATTTGATGGTAGTGCAATGTAGTGAGTGTAGAGAGAGAAAGTAAAGGTAAGGATGGATGAAAAGTAGATACATACAGCAAAGCAAGTTTGCTTGGGAGAGGTGTATATATAATGGCGATACGTGTTTTTTTTTTTTTTTTTTNTTTAGCCTGCCACGTTATTCGGAGTTATGCTCCGATTAATTCATTGGTCGACCCAAATCGCACGCCTAACAGTGGTGAGTGAGTCTCCTAACAAGAGTTTTCTGCATCCGACTCGAACTCGAGATATAATAATTATTATTATTATTTAATTATAATAAAAAAGGGTAGGGGGAAGAGTAGTGATATGTAGTAGTGTTTAAGGTTATTGCGTGAGGGAATAGGAGAAAAATCAATCATTATAATCAGTGCATCCCACTGTGTAACTTTTCAACCCAACACGGAAATTAGGTTACCCTTTACCCAAGCCCCTGCATGCACTCCACCCCCAAATTCTTTTCCTAATTTTTTTATTATCAATGACCACACATCTACATATTCTAAACATAATAGTTCAGTGTTTATGGTAAAATTAGCTGATAAGTTAGCCGATAGCTTAGCTGATGAGTGAGAGCTAATAGTTTATTTGTAATTTTTTAGTTTATAACTTATAGCTTATAGATTATAGCTGAAAAACTAACTTATATGATAAAGATGTATGGTAAAATTAGCTGAGAAGTTAGCTAAAATAAAAATTTTAACGAGCTTATTTGAAAAGTACTTTTTTTAAGCTCAATCTTTTTTTAAAAAATATCTTCCTACTAAACAAAGCTTATTTGGGGTGCATCGTATGGCTTAACCTCCTATAGGATTGGGAGCGTGGCTAGACCATGACCTTATCGGGGTGTCTTATCCCCGACGAGCTCTAGCCTCATACTCTTCCTAGGCCCATGGCCTCCTCTCTTGCACCGAAAAAAAAAAGTTATAAGCTATCTTCAGTGGCGAAACCAGCCGGTCATCTTGGGGAGGGTCCAATTTGCAGCGGCGCATCACCCCACTCCGGCCATCCCGCGGCGTACCACCCCCACTCCGGCATCGGAAAGGCGCTCAAAGGACTTTTGTGGACGCTCTAAAAAATTTTCGCAGGATATAAAGGAATACTCTAGAGATTTTTCTAAAAATCAAACTAAGTTCGAAATTAAACTGGTATACTTAAATTGAATTGTTTTAACTCGAAAAATACTCGAATTTATACTAATAAAAATCTCGGACTCAATTATAATAATAATCAATAATTATACCTCCTTTCGAATAGACGAAAAGCTGAAAAATTTGAGAAAACGAAGCCTCGAACGATCGAACTCGTCCTCGACAAATTTGCTCATTTTGATACTATTTAACGCAGAAATTCAAACTCCCATAATAAATGCTCGGAACTCCAAAAAATGCGAAATTTGTTCGTATGGAATCGTGCCTGAATTATCTACACGCTCCAACTCGATTCTCGTTAAACTGAGATCACACGCAACCTTACGGAACCCCGCAAAATGGCTTTTTATTCTTCTATTATGCGCACTCGACTTCAAGCTTCTCAAAATAAATGCTCGAAACTTCGAAACGTGAAATAAATTTTACGAACGGCTTCTACTGTTCTCGTGCTTTCAAGAAAGCACTCCCGCTAATTTTCAGCATATCTAACAAGGGCCGACGGTTACCCGAAGTCTAGACATGAAAATGACAACAAAATCACCGTCACTGCCATTTTTCTCTCAACTTCGGGCTACCCAAAATAAATGGTCAAGACCTCAAAATCATAAATCGATGCCACCAACGCACTCTCCGCTTTCCGTACTTTAATAAAAGTATTTTTTGGTAATGATCGACTCGGATTTTTAGTCCCGTCGGTACACCGCAAGTCGGCTAATTAACCAACTCAAAATATAATAAAAATAAAAATATTATTAAATTTTGCTGTTGTCCCGAAACCAGAATCCCGTATCGGGGAGGGCTCAATTTACCTTTAAAAATAATTTTCACGACAAAAACCGGTGGCGCCCCTCCGACCATGTATGTACCGCATGAAACCGGGGAGGGCCCAGTATGCGCGCTCAAAGGAAAATATTCCAGTTTCAGCAAAATCTTCTACCCCTAATTTAATTTTTTTTTTTTTTGGAGGGGCCCGCGCCACTCCAACAATATACTTAGTTTCGCCCCTGGCTATCTTATTTGTCTACTAAACATAACTCTAATAGTCACATCGTTCATAAATTTTTTAAGTCCGGTATATATATCATAAATCGATTCATTATAATGTTTTTGACATAAATATATATATTTATGCAGTGTCGATCTGTCGTATTCTTAACAAAATCTAATTTATGTACTAGTATGATAATTTTATTTAATTTATAGGAAATGAAATTGTACAAGTTATTTGAATATAGGCCCTGTTGCAATTAGTGTTGTGCAAATGTAGATTGTGGGCAAACAGGTGACATGAAGATGTAATAATATTTGATTATGAGAGTGAAATAATAGTAATAATTATTGATGTTTAAAGACTATTCAATTTGCTTTTAGGAAATAGGACTATAGGAGCACTTGCCATGTTACTGTGTTGGCTAACCGATCAAGTGGTGTGGGGTTTGTCCTTTGGTACTTACCTAACTATTTTCTAAACTAATTCGTACATATCTTTTTCACTTCCGTTCTATACTACTTTTCTAGATTTGGCTTTGCCTTTTCTTACTAAGTGAAGAACAACAAAAATTGTTGACAACTTCATTTCATTTCCTATCCAATATTTGTGGAAATGGCCTTCTCATTTAAGGATGTATGGAAAAGTAATAAGATTACAATATTTCTTTTCCACACACATGTATATGTATTTTGAATAGTATTTGTGATGTCTTAATGTTTGAAGAAATATATAACTTACTATTAAAAATAATTGGATTGGAAAAGAAATCTCAATTCTTGTGGGGTGACATAGGGTGACCCTTATGTGCAATTATGTACGTTTTGGGACTATTCTGATGAGCTGAAGAAGATCAATCCTGGAAGTACTGTCATCCTTGAGACTATCACTTCAAATGGTGAAACCAGATTCAGTAAGTTCTACTGTTGTTTTAATGCTTCGAAAAGGGGATTCACAATGGGATGTAGGTCTATAATTGATATAGATGATTATAACCTAAAGGGCCATAATCTAGGTATCTTACTGACTGCAGTGGGTGTTGACTCCAACAACAATTTATTTCCCATATCTTATGCTATTGTCAGTGGAGAAACAAGAAAGACTTGGTCATGGTTTTTAACCATACTTAAGCCTGACATAGAGATTGAAGTTGATGAGCAAATGACCTTCATGAGTGACAAGCAAGAGGGTTTAATACAAGCTTTCAAAGAGGTTTTTTTAAATAGTCCTCATAGATTTTGTGTTAGACACCTTTAGTGCAACTTCAACAGGGGCAGATCCTGAAAATTTAATTGCGGGAGAGTAAATAATTTTCAATGACATGCTTCATTAAAAAAATAAAGTTGCATTTCTAGAATTGAAAAAAAAAATAGTTCAAGAAAATACATACCTTTCAAACATTGTAACTATTAGAATTGTGTTCGATGTACTCTCAAGTCACGAAACTCATCGATGATTGACTCAGTAGTAATAGATCTTGCAATTTTTCTTTCAACGAAGATAGTAAAAGAATTACAAGAAAGTAATCTTCCATTTTACTTCAGTGTTTAGATTTAACAATAACCATTTTCGAAAATGCATGCTCTGTGCTATCATATTATTTAGTAATAGTCGCTACATATAAGAATGATGAATAAATACACATATGTTTTAAACTCTAAATCCCTAAAAAGGATAAATAAATAAAATTATGAACATGGGCATAAATTAAAGTACTCATAAATATAAAAGAATGATCAAATTATTCGGAAGAATCAAGGAATTGGACTGACGATCCTTGTTGTTGCTGCAAAATTGTTCTATTTTTTTTTACCTTGCAAGCTTGCCTCCGCCGTGTTGTATGTCTCGGTGCTGCTATTTTGTATGTTTATATCTCTATCTCTGGACTCTTGCATTGAGCTTATTTCTTCATGTTAATTAAGAGTAATTTTATTTGTTTTATTAATAAGGAAATAATATAATACAAAAAAAGTGGAAGTTAAATGAACTTTTCTGGCTTATCTTCTATATATTTCTCTAATAGGCCTTGGAATGTCCTAGTCCACATAATATCAATCAATATATCTTTAGTTAATTGGTTAATGGGGATAATGATAATTTAATATATTTAATCCAATGATTTCATATATGTACTTAGATAAAAAAAAAATCCCAAACGTTTGGGGGGACCGTGGCCCCTAGCTTATATGTAGGTCCACCCCTGAACTTCAAGAATGCAGCTTTTAGGGGCTTAAGTTTTATGTTAGCATTGTGGGGTGCTGCACAGACTACTACAATTGCGGAATTTAAGAGGAGGATGATGGATATGAAAAAACTAAGTGAAGATGCATGGTCATGGTTTCATGATAAAGCACTAAGTGAGTGATCAAAATCACACTTTTTAGGTGTCCCAAAATGTGATATGGTGCTTAGCAATGTTTGTGAGTCTTTGAATTCAAATATCTTTGAGGCAAGAGACAAGCCCATCATCACTATGCTGAAATGGATTAGAGAGTATCTGGTGGTAAGACTTTAGCAAAATAGAGACAGAGCAGCTGCAAAATGACATGGAAAATTGTGTCATGAGATACAAAAGATCTTGGACAAACATTTAGAGAAGATGGCTAAGTGCATTCCAATTAAGGCAGATGAAAAAAATTATCAAATTTCTTGCTCTGATGGAGAACAATATGTTGTGGCTCTATCTATCATGCTATATTATGCTCATATAGATCAAATTTCTTGCTCTACAAACAATGCAAATGTAGAGGTTGACTGTTCAGAAATTCTAAAAATTCAGA